GTAGCAATACTAGTAGACCTGGTCTGGAGCACGCAGCGACAAACTCGTCTATGGCCTCTGGCACACCAACCGGCTCGAACGACACGGAGGGAAAGATCCTGTATCCGTTTAAGGTCAAGCATCTTGGTCACGAGGTTTATACTCTGTATGCATCGTCAGCCAAGGATCGTGCCGACTGGTGCAACATGATTATCGAAACCAAGACAAGGCACGCCAAGGCACTTTTCTCTCAAAATGCTGAGCCATTCAGGCTGCGGGTTCTCGCGGATGCAGCTTTCCACTACGACACCGCCTCTATGTACGCAAGGTTCTCGAGTGTTGCAGTTAAGGGCACTCCTCTTGACCGGGCAATTCACGAGCTGGAGAGTGTGCTGGGACCGGCTCAAGGCGTTGCTCCTGTATGCCGTGCCCAGGTCAACTGCGCTACCAGCTTCACTGCCTTTGGCAAATCTGTTATTGCGATCGGAACTGATTACGGAGTTTACATCTCGGAGCCGTCAAATCCTCGCGGATGGCAGAGGGTATGTGGTTCCCTTTTTCTTCAATCTGATATAGCTAACAATTTTACTACAGACGGTCCAGGCAACCCGCGTCACTCAAATTGCTGTCCTTGAGGAATTTTCTGTCTGCGTGCTCATTGCCGACAAGAACCTCATTTCATATCCTCTAGATGTGATCGCTCCAGTATCTGACTTCTCGGCCCCTGTCAACGACAGCCCTCGACGGGCACCACAGAGACTTGCCAAGGACGTCACCTACTTTGCCACAGCTAAGATGAAGGACAGAATGCTCCTGTTCTACAAACGAAAGGAAGGTTTGCACACATCATTCAAGGTTCTCGAGCCTATCTTCCAGAAATCTACCGAGAAGAAGTCTCGGCTCTTTGGCGGACGGAAGGCTGGTGGTGGAGGATGCGCCGAGACATTCCGCGACTTTGACGAATTCTTCTTCCCAACGGAGTGCTATTCCCTCAGTCTGTTCCAAACGTACATTGCAGTTGCGACAGCGAAGGGAGTCGAGATGCTCACCCTGGATAAGAAGCAGCCTATGTCTATTCCCGACCTTAAGGCGCCTGCAATTGCCAACATTGCCAGCCGCATCCGAGATCAGAAGCCGCTCGGCATGTTCAGGCTGAACGAGAACGAATTCATCGTGACATATGAGGACTGCGCTGTATACGTGGACAAGCACGGTGATGTCAGCCGCACGCTGATCATGGAGTACACTGGCAAACAGAAGAAGGCCCGTGGTGCGACCATGTATGGACAGTATCTACTCCTCTTCAACGAGGACTATGTTGAGGTGCGCAACGCCGAGAACGGACGACTGCGCCAAATCATCGCCGGTCGAGACGTGCGCGTGCTCGATCTCGGCGTCCGTGGACCGACTGGCCGAAGCACATTGAATCCGCAGTCACACAGTAACGGATATATGCAGTCGACAAGCGCGGGTAGCGAAGGGTCAAAGGGCACCGTCAAGATTGCCATGGCCCATCCAGAGCTCCCAGGTCGACAGATCGTTTTGGAGATGCTATTGAACGACGGACACACGGAGAAATGAGAGGAAGCGAACGATTGATAATGGTTACGATGATGAGCATCTCTGGAGACTCAGTACCCACCCGGCGTGGGCACAATATCTTGAAATATGAATGACTTGAGATCATGAGATGAACAATCAAATTGACGGGGCTGTTTTAGAAGAAAGGGGGGGGGCTTATCTTTCCTTTGAGTCTGTACATGTACATATCGGCACTGGCCTGGTTCCTCACTTGACGCTCTGTGGCCCAGCAGCCAGCTAATGATTGGATGGATGGCTGGGGCTATCTATGGCGAAGGGCAATATTTGTGGCAGGGCGTTCATAGGTGGTGTATAAGAAGTTGCTGGTGTTGTGAATGCCATCATGAATGATACCTAAAGAACAATTTAGAGAGATATCTATAGTGGATTTGGATTATAATAACAATCAAGGTCACTGGCTGTTGCATAGCTGGTATGGCATACTGTGGTTAATCTTGACAAGTACGAGATATAAGCCATGTTTTGTACGTGTTTATTTGTTGAACCCAACCCATCCTTTCTACATGTTGACTATATGTATGATAATCTACCATGTAAAAAGTGACAAGCTATTCCTGAGCTCCCCTGACTCTGGAATGGCTTTGCAATACCCACCCTCCTTTTCAAGCAGTATATGCGTCCATTTGCGACCCACGCCTTTCGAAAGCAGTCCCTCTGTAAGGAGTAATCGACTGTGGCATTACAAATCGTGAGATATGTCGGACTCAAGGCCACCCTTTTCGACAATTGTCTAACTTGCCCATGCTTGATTGCATTTAGGGCTTGGCCTCCTGGATGGTCTCCTTGGCGTCCGCCTTGATGTCCTCAACGACACCCTCCAGGCTCTTCTTCTTTGCTGACTCGTAGCTGAGAATTCGGGTGATCTGGACGAGGCCGACCATTCCGAGGAAAAAGTTGACAGCGGCGAGGCTAAGATACAGCTGTTAGCTTGAGTGTGTATGATTCAGCGGGTTATAAGCGTACAGGTAGTTCTTGGGCTTGATGATGAGGCACCATCGAGTCCAGATGATACCGGTGCAGGTCAGAGCGAGGTTCTGAGTGAAAGAGAGCTTCTCGGCGGGACGAGCGAAGTCGGAGATACCGGCAAGGACTAGAGCCCACTATAGATGGCGAACAAGGTCAGTAATTGTGATTATATCGGGGTTCCAAGAGTAGTTGGATCCGTAGTGTAGATATCGCGGGATGATATAGTCAACGAACCTTCATGACGGGAGCCCTACAACCACGCATATTAGCATTCTGTGTCAACAATCGCTTGTTCTAGACTTGTCCTCACCAGAAATGCACAGTCTTGAAGCCGACCTCGCTCTCCATCATGCGCTTGAACCAGCTCTGCTGCTGCTGCTGCTGGGCGCCATCAGTGCTCTGCCATCGACGGCCGCTGCCCTGGTAGAAGTTCTGTCGGAATGTTTGCTGACGGAATGCCTGTCGAGCGGGCGCGGCGAGGGTAGCCTGACGGAAGAGGGGGCGCGAGGCGCGGAAGATGGTGCTTGCGGGGGAGGCCATGATTGCTATGCGACTGTCGTCAGTACCAATATTAATTAATGTCAATTAATATGAGATGCAATATCGGGAATCAAAAAGTTGGGTAGTCAAGATGGTTTGCGCGCAAATCGAGACATTCGGCGACCACATGGAAAAGTATAAAAGACACAATTGAATCCGCGATCAGACAGTCAATAGCAACTTACACGTTGATCTCTTGGTGGAGGGGAGATTGGTTCAACAGAGAGACGTTGTGGTCAAAAAGATGAGGTTCAACGTCGGCGAAAGAAGCTTTGAGACGTTGGGGCAAGGGTGGTCGGTCGGTCACTGTAGCCCCGAGATAGCTGCTGTGGTCTGTGGATTTAGCGCACCACCCACTAAGTCCATTACTGCACGGCGCCCGGAAACCGGAGATATCGTGCGTCCGGGGCTTACTCTCACTGTGGACGAACATGGATACGGAGTACGTGGGGGAGGAAAAGCTGTCAGCGGAACCGGAGGCTGTGCATAATTGAATTATGCACGCACACTATTGGCTCTTTTATGCAAATTATACCCAAGGTACATAACCTTTGTACCGCTTTTCAGTCCCTACCTACGTTAGGTACTAAGGTAGGTAGGTAGGTTTATTCCACCCGAGCCTCATTGAGGAACCTACCAAAAGCTAGCAATTACTTAGCACTTCAAGGCCGACCCGACTCCGTCGCTACTGTTTTGACCTAACGAACGACTCAACCACGTCAATTCGCTTCATAATGTCGGCCAAGTACGCTTTCACAAAGTCTCTCCGCGAGGTGCGATTCCTCTTTTGCCAGACTTCGGAGCAGAGCGCGGCTCTTCGGTACGTCTAAACCCGTATTATACTCCCCAGCGACGACAGCAATCGGCATGGTACTGGCCCAATTGGGCGCATTGGAGGACACGAGCGACCGGACGACATTGCACAATGACGGTAGAGCTTGGGGAATCATTGGGCTGATTGTTTCCTGCGCCGATATAGATCATTCATCACCCGATCGTACCCTACCATGAAGCGCAACAACCCCAACATTCCCATCCTGATCCGAGAGGCCGCTGGCACCCAGCCCAAGGTCTTTGCCCGATATGGTTCGTATTCTATATCGCTGGAAATCCTCGGACATCCTAGAGCGATATCATCCAAATCACGGCAGTACTGACATGATCAAATCAGACCGAGGTGTCGAGAAGTCACAGATCCTCGAGGGTCTCTCCGACAAGGAGATTGAGGAGACCGTCACTGGCTTGGTCAAGGCTGATCAATAGAATCATGACTATCGATCGCTTTATCAACATTTGCCAAAACAAAGAGAAGTTATAGGGCGAGACCTCGAGCTCGGGCATCACCACAATGAAATGTACATAAGGGTCAAATCAGCATGCGACAAGAGAGTATTGTACTACTACGAAGCCTGTCCATCATCTTGAATATCGACCTCCTCGTAGCTGCTTCTTGGCCAAGTCGCTCGCCACTGGAGTCATATTGTTCCTCATTTGTTAACACATCAAGATACATATAGGCTTCCGAGCTTACTATATTAATGTAGCAGCACCTCATCATTATCAACATACAGAACGCACCGCCATGTCTCTCTCTGTACTCACGGTACTATATTACACCTGGCATAAATCGCACTTTTTTTCTAATCCCTGACCTGAGACCATTGTGACGTGCCCAACAACAGACCAGATATCGCACAACTATGTCAATGGACAATCCAACTTGTCCATGCCCAATGCAAGCCCTTGAAATCCATTACCCTGACCCCTATTCACCGGCCCCCCCTCCCCTTTCTATTGATTTGATGCCAAGTAGAGCGAAAGGTGCCGACCGAAATAAATTCACTGACCATTTCTCGATTCATGTCTGCTCGGTCCTCCCTGTTCTTCCTGCTATGTCTCAGTCACATCACAGTCTAGTTCTTGGTGACAGGAGATCCTTGTCCGAGCCCACCGTCATCTTGGGTAGATTTTGTCTTTCCACCCCAAATCAAGGGTGTCTGTGACTTGGATTGTGCCCGTTCCCGAGAAGCTGGAAGTGAGGGCCAGTCATCGTCGATCAGGCCAGGCTTCTTGACTTTTCCTCCTTGATTCTCTGGGGTTTGAGGCATCTCTTGAACTTTCTCGACCTTTGCCTCGGCGTTGTCAGCCTTGGCACTCACCGTCACTGCCCTCTCCTTGCCTTTGCCTCGTTTCGAACCTTTTGCCGGAGTCTTCTTTCCCTCTCCTTGATGAGCAGGCCCCTTTTCCTTTCTAGGGGTTCCTTTTTGGACCGCTTCTGAGATACCTCGACGACGTTTAGGGGTCTGGCTAGTGACGGCGGATGGGCCTTTCTCATCCTGAAGAGTTGTCTCGCATGCATCATCGTCCCCGGCCTTGGGGACCTCTCGGATTAGTTCATCTGTTTGTACATGTTTGACAGCCGATTCATTCACTGTGCCACTGCTTGGTGCTTCACGACCGCTCAGATTGGCAACTGATCCTTTACTGAGAGACGCTGTTCTCGATGGAGATACAAACTCTCGGGCCTCGGGATTGAGGCGGCTCCTTGCGCCATTTCCATGATCGCGCAAGTTCGGCGGGTCATCAGATTCGGGGAGGCTCTGGCATTGGAAAGCAAAATTGGTCGAAGGAGGTGGCGCTTGAGCATCGAATCGTTCTCCTGCGAGCATTGAGCTAGGAATCATAGGACGAGGTCGACGTTGCTTGCCAAAGCGAAGTGAACCTCCTCTACCCATTCTGAATCCCCGACGACCGCGTTCGTCCTCATCAGGGGAATCTGATTCGTCAAATGGAGGTTGGGGTTGAGGCTGAGGCTGGTGCTGGTGTTGAGCCATTTCGTGCTTATTCCCATGCTTCTTGCTTCGCTTAGCAGATCCAGATACAGAAGGCTGCTCAGGTTCATCGTGGTGTCGCTTGATAGGCGAGGATGAACCCGGTTCCTGACTTCCGATATGGCCTCCATGGTGTGTATTAGACCCCAGCCCTCCACTGCTAACATGCATGTGCTGAGGTGCCATGGAGCTGGATCGAGGAGAAGACGGCGGCTCATTTTGTTGAAAGGCGTGATTGGACTCGTTGCTCGTGGGTGCCATGTTCTTCGCTTTCTTTTTCTTGGCCTTCTTGGCATTCTTTCCTTTGCCTCTTGGGAGCGTGTCTGAAGTATGTTCTTGCTCAAACGATTGTTCAACCTTGGACATGAAATTTTCGGTCACGGGAGAGGTTGCAGGCATCTCAGATGGCTGTGCTTCACCTATAGTAGTTCCCTGCAGCTCAGTAGCAACTTCTCTTGTTGTCCTGGTGAGATGGGCAGTAGAAGAGCCTTTTGGCGCCTGCGGCAACGGAAACCTCGACTCGGGGTTCTCGGACATAGATGGCTCGTAAACATCGCTGGTGCCTGGAGCAGAGGTTGCATTCTGCCCTGAGATTGGCAACTCCATCTGCGTAGCATTCCGTTCGCGATTGTCACTCTTTCCAACTTCAGGGTTGCTGCCACACTCGGTGGCGATGCTGGCCAAGTTCATTGGAGTAACTGAGCGAGGCCCACGGAGAGTCAGAGGCATAGGAATTTTAGCCCATGCTCGTTCTCTCTCTTTTTTCTCATTCTCAGAAAAGAAGCTTGGCACACCACTGTGACTGCTCTTGCTACCAGTTGGTTCAGACAGTAGTTCAGCTTGATGACCAGATGTCACCTTTGTTTCTTCCTGGCTTTCAAGCGCCTTAATGGGCATCTCATTCAGGCGATGTGCTGTCGTTTCAATACCCGCAAGTCCTTCTGCTTTCTCATTTGGTTTCGTTGGGGTTCCTTGGGAGGCAAGTGAAGCTTTCGAAGGGGTGCTGGGCAAGGAAACACGGGCTTTGATCCCAGTATACTTGCTTGTGTCACTTCGCGGACTACCCGGATCATCTTGATCAAGGTGATGGACTTCATCCAAAGCTTCTTCAGATGGAGGCTTAGTCTGCAATACCTCACGAGAGGATGCGGTTTCCTGCGCCGGCTGGATGGGAGGAGGGGCAATTTGCCTTGGATCAAGAGCCGGCTGTCCAGGGAGGAGTGCCTGTATGCCGGGTCCGGACTGCACAGTTGTAGATGGAATACCAGGGGCTGGAGGTTGTACAAGTCCAGACAAAGAACGTTGCCCCCCATTGTGTTGCCAGAAATGACTGTTATGTGCTTGCCCATGGTTGACTACAGCCGGATGAACGATGCCTGGCATCATGTGAGGGACTGCGACAGTATTCGGCGCATTGCCTGGCATCGATAGGCCGAAAGGATAAGGAGAGAATGGAGGAGCGGCGGAGTTCTGACCAGAAACTCGACCTGGGAGTGGTCGAGTAGGTGCTTGCTCCAAGAGTGTCCATTTTGATCGCAACGCAGGGGAGAATGTAACAGATATGCCTTGCTCAGGCATGTTACCGCCGCCAATAGTCAGTGCTTCACCAACTGACGAGGAGTTTACAAACCTAATTCTTGTTAGTTGTTCATTGATTTCAACATGAATCCACAACGAGTCAAGACTTACCGGGCAATAAAACGTCCTGGTTCTTTCGAGGCGATCGGGAACACCTCTTCTACATGTCCATATCTCTCAGCCAGGCCAAACTTGAGCCGTGCGAGTATGTCTGGCCCAGTAAATCCTTGATAGCCTTGGACAATGATGTATACAGAGCGGTCACGAGAATCGCAGATCGAGCAAGAGCAAGGTACATAATCTTTGATCGACAAACCATCCTGAACGTTCTGACAAGTAACTGGATCCCGACGCCATGAATCCTTCCACGGTGCCCCCTCGCGCCTCTTCTGGCTGAAATCAGGGCCGGTATGAGGTTGCGCAACAGGCGCGGTTGCGTTTCGCTGGTTGTGGCCACCGCGGCGGTTTTTACGAGCCCCTCCGCGATGGAAACCTCCGCGACTCAATCCAGCATTCCCGCCGTTCTTATTCTCATGGTTTTGATAGGGCCATCTGCCATCGTTCGAATCGAAACGATCATTCCGAGAAGAGTTGCTGGTATTTCTACCACGACCAGTCAATGAACCCCTCTGAGGCGGCTGTGACTGCTGAACAGGTGGAAATCCATGGTCAAATCCATTCTGCATGGGAAAATTCTGTTGGGGAAGTAAAGAATAGTTTCCTTGAGGGGCAGGGCTAAAGGTTCCTGCTGAGTAAAAGGGGGCCATAGGAGGGGTGTGCATCGCGAATTGCCCAGAAAGTCTCGTACCTTCAGGGGGCTCACTACTCATCGCGCTGTTTTGAAAGCCTACATCAGGTGTTTGCATCTGATTGAACGTACTCATTGTTCCAGGATACTTCATTTCATTCTGACCGTGAGCCACTGGCTCATCAAAAGCTCGGTTTGGTCGCTGGTTCTTGGGTCTGTCATTGGTGTTCAACCGCAACTCTGCATCTCTGATGATGTTTCCAGTGATATGGTCCTTTGAGCGACTCGAAGTAGCCTGGGCTAGTTGCTAATCAGCCTTCTGGCTATCGGTCGGAGGCCTCTGGTTTGAATTTTCTGTGGCATTTGCAACATCTTTTGTAGGACTAGCAAGACTTGAGTTACGCATGACTGCTGAGCCTGGTAATGATGTGGTCACTGTGGATTTTCGAGCTCCTCGTGTGGTCCGGGGATTTTTGCGGCCATGCCTTTTGACTTTTGTGGGGGTCATTGCATCGAAGTCCTCCTGCTCCTCCTGTTCGTGGTGTCCGTTGGAAGAGGAAGCGGCTTCCTCATCATGTCCCTTACCATCAGTGTGGGGGGATGGTGTTCGGACTGAAGGGAAAGGCTCTGTAGATTTACTTCTGGCCTGAGCTGTTACCCGAAGACCACTGTGAGCGGTAGTGTCGTTAACCTGCTTTTGTTCGATCAAGGTTGTCTCGCTGTTGCCGTGAACGGAAGGCCCTGCTGCTGCTGCGGATTGGTGGAGCGCTTCTACCGCACTGGGCACACGGCATTCAGGCCGTCTAAAGTAGTGTTTCCCATCGAGCACCATGATAGGGTGAGCGACTTTCTCTGATGCCGGGGAGGAATGGTGAGGCTGCCACTCCGTTGGCCTTGTAGACAGACCCGAAGGTCCCAGGACGCGTTGGCCCGCTATGAAGGTGTCAGCATAACAGTAGAACCTGATTTTGGAAGCAAGTTTCACATACCTAACCAGTTTTCGAGGTGCCCCTTTTCGTAAAACTCCTTGAAGTGATTAGGTTTCGTTGTACCTGGCCTCAATTTCTCGGGTGACAGTAACAGAGATCGTCGATGCGCAAGGGCACTTGCAATAAGATGGATGGCATCATCCGAAAGGCCTTTCATAGCTTCCCAACCGATGACACCATTGATAGAAAGACCAGTTTCATTGCTATTGGTGAGTTTGTCGCGGTTTTCGTCGTCATACAACCAGTGATCAACCCATTGGCCAACTTCGATGGAAAAGGCATTATGGACGTCGAGGGCGATGGACTGGTTCTCGACAAACAGTTGACTAACCACATTCCAAAGGTTCAAAGCTCCGTAATTGTAAATGTCCTGGGCATCAAAATAGTCCCACAAGCTATCCCAGCAGTCTGGATGCGGCATATCTTTTATGACCTCCCAGTAGAGCTTGCGGAGTGAGTTGCAAGCAGATTGAACTTCGTCTCCGGACCAAAGGTGAACGCGGCGCTGAGGCAGTAAATGCTCCATGTAACGAAAAGGGTTCGATCCATTACAGGTAGAGAAGATGGCTTTGGCCCCGACTGGAGGGTTGCTGTAGAATCCCACAGGGAGGTAGTCTTCGACGTACGTTTGAACGACGCCCTCAGGACCAGGTGTCTGCAGCATTTTGTAGAATTTGGGTAGGCCATTGGGGTAGAAGCTGGTGAAGGCTTCGCGCAAGTTAGGTGGCTGGTCTCTGGCATAAGTCCGGTCTGGTTCCAAATTTGGTTGAGGCGGCGGCGATGGCCCATTGGACATGGAGGAGTCACCCGCCGAAGCGGGTTGAGGTTGAGCCATGATGCTCTGTGTAACGGTCGGTTAGCACATGATGAGACAAGGTGCGCTTGATCTTGGAAACGAGGTGAACACTCTCATCCCGACTTAGAAGACCCTTAAGGGTGATGAGATGAAAGCATTCACCTCGTCTTGATAAATCACAGTTTGCATAAATAGAGGTGTTCGAGGCTTACCTTGAGAAGTGAAGCGCCCGGGCGCAAAACAAGTGCAAGTTATGGTTCAGATTCAGGTATAAGATGGAGGAGATTAATTTCAGAAAGAAGGTGGTTCTTTCCTGAATTCGATGCCCAACGCGCGATGATGTGCCGTGAGGAAAGAAGGAGGAGGGGAGATTTGTCGGTGTTCTCGAGATGTGCGGGAGTGAGGTTTGAGGAGAAAGAGAAGAAAGTTAGAGGGAAGGAAAGGATCAAGAGAGAAAAGGAAAACAAAAAGTAAAATCGAAGACCGGGCAATGATTATTCTGGCTTGGCCCCTACGGCCGCCGACACTGTCACCGAATAAACATTAAGTGACTGCCACTGGCAATGTTAGTAACTGGCACGCACTGGCACAGCTGGCGCAGACCTGAACTGATGATCAAAGTCTCTCGCTTGCAAGTATCCATTCACCAACAGTTATGTCTTTGCAGTGCTTGCTTGTGACTCGAGGAGTGCAAACTGTCAAAGTCAAACAAAGGCAAGGAAACCTTCCAGAACGGCTCGCAGCCTACTTGCTAGCTCGCCTATAATAGAGCGTAATCGGTTTTGGTTTCAACTAGACTAGCCTTGGGTTTGCCGGTATTTAAATACTAGACAATAGCATGATTAGTTTTGCTCGAGGTACTCAACGCGTCAACGATACAGTCGCCTAGGCATCTTGCAGCTCAACGCGGGTGCTTGCTGATTCTCGCTCCACACAAACGGCTACTCTGTTATATGCAGATTGTGAAATATCTGTTGGAGAACTCGTTTCTTGCTTGGACTAGAAACAATTCAATTTGATTAGACGAGGTTAATGCCTGTGCCCTTTGGTGGCATACGGTTCACGTCTGGTGAATTTGGATGCCAAACTTTGATATTGTTCATAAAGGGTCTTTTCGAGGAAAGACTGGCAATCGTACCGACGGGAATGCCTTGTGGCATTTCGAAAAGAAAATCGAGCGTTTGTCAACCTACTATCGTCGGCTCATGATGGGTCACTAATACAAGCATGCTAATATGGCTGATCGTCAGACGGTATCAATCATTGACATAGTATATACAGAGAGGGGTTATGCGATAGTTCATTGACAGTTTTAGAGACGTTACTTCTGTGTTTTCAGAAGCTTGAGGATCTCAGACTCGTTGTCGCCAGCAATGGCCTTGCCATTATTCCAATCCACAACCTATACGTATATTAGTCAGTAGGTTTCCATCGCGAGATTCCAGAGGCAACGTACCACTGGTCGAATGAAGCTCTCTTTGCTCTCTTTGAACTTCCTGAGAGCCTCCTTCTCGTTGTTTGCGCCCTTGATCACCTTGGGGATACTGTTGCTTCCAACATATTCCAGAATTGTCTTCACCTGGTCGTCTGTAGGAGGATCCTCGGTGATGTTGAGCTCAAACTGGTCTCGAATAGGTGCCGTCTGGGCGGAGTGGTCGCTCGCTTGGTCAAGAGTGGCGCCAGAAGTGGCATTGGCAGAGACCTGCTTCAAAAGGTTGGCGACTCTGACGGATGCCGGAGAGCTGGCCTTGTGGAAGACTGTCACAATATCGAGTGTCTTATGCTATATGCTTGTTAGTAATCACGCATATCTGATATTGGCCTCGTAACTTACAAAGCGAAACATTTTAGCTGGTTATTTCTCAAAAGTTTATGTTTAGAAAACAATTGTAGAAAGATCACGATTGTCCATGGAGGTTGATGTCGGAGCTCCGATTCGGTATAGCTCCATGAAGCTCGTCACGCCGAAGATGACTTAATGTGGCCCGTGCATAGACCCCCACCACGGCACCCGCTATCTTCCGCCTCCCATGGATAACCAGAGATATATAAGAGAGAGCCAATGTCCTCGGGACATTCGTGTTTCAAGTATGAATGAGATTATTTAAGGGAAGAAGGCTCAAAGTGGGTATGGAAATAAACCTTTTGGCGATGGGTTCTAACTTTATAAACAAAATAATTTTAATTCTCTAAGGGGTTAAAGATACATTAATCCAACCAGTCACTACCTAGGTAGGGATGTCCTGGCTTAGTACTTATGGGTGGTGTTAAGGTCAGGGTCCATCTCAGTAGATGCCTCATTTACCAGTCGTGGTTTTGTATTTTGTAAAACCCAGCAATCACGGAATGTTGCAAGCAGATTGCCAATGAGTAAAGTTTTTAAGAAATCAAATGTCACGATCGGATGAGGCTCGGCTAATACACCTTGATTGTCCCAGTTTCAAACTGACCTTGGATACGGTACCACACGGCAGCAAGCCTTGACGTGAGAAAGAATAGCTGGAATGTTCGGTCTTTATTGTTTCCATATGTGCAAATGGACTTGCTCTCTCATTAAGAATTCATGAGATGTTGTTTTAGTGTCTCACGTGGCCTGCTGTCAAGGATCATGGACAGGCGCCTCGCCAAGCTGATATCAACCGCTTACGCTAGAAGATCGACTCTACGTAGCAAAGCATATGTTGCAGAAAACCTAAGGAGGAGCCAAAATCTCTTTCTTTTTACTTATGACGTATGTGTTGCGATCTGATGCGTTTTGTTGTGGTGAGCAAGGACTTTCTTTTATCATGACGTATTCTATGAAGTCAGGGTTGTGGAGAAGATGTATGACCATGGCACTGATTCATCGTCGAAGAGGAACTACAAAAGGGTCTTGAGATCAATTAAAACTTTTTCTCACACAACATCTCATCTCTTCACATAATCCTCCCTTTCAATCACTGAACACACAACTCTCACACATCCATCATGTCTGGCTACTCCAACGTTGGTAACCGTGGTGTCTACGAGGCTGGCGATCAGAGAAACGCTCCTGAGTCGGAGCGCAACGTTGAGAACCCCTACAACGAGGGCAAGGAGAACTCTCACAACAACCTTGATTCCAGTACGTATTCCGTGGATTAAATATGAGAAAATATTCTAACAAAATTGCAGAGGATGAGCGATCTATCGCCAACCGCCTGGCTGCTGAGGAGGTTAGTTGAGCCACCGCAGTTGGATATCCACTATATACTAATGCAAAACAGCAGCGATCCGAGCCTGACGACGATCTCGAGACCGCCCAATTAAAGAAGGATCCCACTCTGCCCGTAAGTCCAATCGAGATCTGGCTTTGGCGCCAAAAGAAAAGCAAAAAACTAACAGCAACAACAAGGCTCGCGCTCACGGCAACGAACCTTCCAAGGGCGCAAAGGTCGATGCTCAACTCCAGGCTGAAGAGGAAGAGGAGTTGAAGCGCAAGGGCAAGGCTTAATTGTAACAATAGGTACTTTAGATCACAGCCGATTCGTTGCAGGCAAATGATTCGGAAAGGATAAATTAATGATTGAATTGAAAGCCGAAACATGACTTCTCATCGCATACGTGAATATGAGGAGGCCTTGTGGTCTTATTGAAACATAAGTCAGCCCCAACGATGTCTCGTCAAACGTCCCCCGCACATTAGATGTCATAGTATGTGTATTCCGTATGTGTGTTTCAATGTAATCATTAAACATCGAGGTAGTAGGGATTGTACGGCATTTCACATGAATAAAACGAAACAAGCGGCGTTGCTTGTGAAGGTTTAGAAAATTATTACTAATTGCAATTGTGGACATTGAATGTATCTGCTTGTGGCTGCTAGGAAGGCTCACAGTTTGCTAACTAAAGCTTGCCACTACAGAAGAGGGAGAAGTGTATCACTAAAGTCTTGAGTTAGTCTTTGTAAAATGGCAGGTCATGCGAGACTGGATATAAGACAGAATGTGCTTTCAGAATATGTAAGAAATTGAATATCAGCTATCCGCCCGATTTAGCCACTCCGGCGAAAGAGGACCATCAAGCAGAATCAATCGCAAATTACCTCATCCTATGCGAGAGAGAGAAGAAGGGGAAAAGGGAAGCGTGATGGATTCTTACCTTGATGCACTCAAAAATGTGGCGTGTCTCTCCGACCATAAAGAGGAAGAGTTTTGTTGGGCTGTACAAAACTTGATGTCTGCCAGAAATTTTCTTTTGAAGTTCTCGTCGGCTGGCCCGTGCTCCGTTGCCGGGTGGTGAGCTCGCTTTGTCGGACGGCCAAAAGGTTAGTCCGGAAGTTAGACCGAAAGTTAGGGCAGGCACGCACAGGATCTTTTTCTGCCCACGATCAAAAAGTCCTTAGCGATTTCAAGGTCCGCGGCTCCAGCAAACAACCAACTAACGGGACAGCATAATCGACAACTGGTATGAACCTCGACTCCTACGATCGCAGTTGTATTCGAACAATCAATCACTGCGCGCGCGACTCTTGAAACATTCGACTAATCGACCGTCATTAGATCACCGTCACAATGGGCGACGCAGTCATTGAGGGTTCGAACTGGCGCCTCGTTGAGGTTGGCCGTGTCGTTGTTATCAACGGCGACCACCCCTTCGCCGGCCGCCTGGCCACGATCGTCGAGATCATCGACCACAAGCGAGTAGGTTTCTCCTGCTTCAGAACAGACTTGTCTGCCGAAACACGCGATATTGACCCCGTCACAGATTCTCGTCGACGGTCCTTCCGCCAACGCTAGCCTCGCTGTTCCCCGACAAGCCGTCCCCCTCAGCAAGGTCCTCCTCTCCTCTCTTATCGTCGAGGGCTTGAACCGCGGTTCCCGAACTGGTGTCGTCCGAAAGCTCTGGGAGAAGTCCGAGATCGACTCCAAGTGGGAGCAGACCAACTGGGCTAAGAAGCGGGATCAGATGGAGCGGAGGAAGGGTCTCACCGACTTCGAGCGCTTCCAGGTTCTCCGACTCAAGAAGCAGCGACGATTCGAGGAGCGCAAGGCTCTGGCCAAGGTCAAGGCCTCCGCATAAATGGGTCATTAAGCTGGAGTCACGGAGGTGCTTGAAAGTCGGGTTTAGATCAAGTGGCACGGAACTGGGCAGGAAACACATCACGGCGGTATAGAGGCTGCTGGATTCACTTTCGCTTCGTTCTGGAAGGCTGTATTTCACACTTCATCGTCACGATGAACGGCGTCAATACGGAAATTCTGAGATCAACTGAATTCAAAGCAAAAGGAGCATCAAAAAAGAACATGGATTCATTGTGAACTGTAGCCGAAATAAAAATGAAATGAATACCCCAAAACTCCGCTGCCTGTGTATGCATGCATGTCTTTACACTCAGCCACTTTGTATCCCCATATTCAACCTTAATTATTGCCCAAATTGTTCCATGGATTTTCCCTCCACCCGTCGTCACTTTCTTAGACTTCCGGAATCTGGAGGGGGAGACGTAGTGACACAGATTCTGATTACCTAATGTACCTTAGTTCCCACCTCCCACCAAGCCCTAGAATTATCGCTGTGCGAGGACCCCATCACAAAACGACGACGTGAGAGATCAGGCCATCAAACAGACGTAACTGGGATCAGCAAAACAAGTAAGTGCGCAGCTGTCGTTATGTTCATTGTGTTATTTTGCTATCGATTTTTTGCGGTCCCGGGAAGATTTTGCTGCCACAAATTGATTGCCTGAGATTTACTAACATCTGTGCCCGCACTTCAGTCGCCAAAATGTCGAACCCCCGCGTTGAAGAACTTCCCGACGAGGAGCCCAAGAAGACCACCGTCCAGGAGCACGAGGATGACTCCAGCGACGACTCCGAGGTCGAGGAGGTCGGCGAGGGCCAGCTCCCCGCTGGTTCTACTGTGATCCACAACCGCAACGAGAAGAAGGCTCGCAAGGCCCTCGAGAAGCTGCACCTCACCCGCATCCCTGGCATCACCCGTGTCACTCTCCGACGACCTAAGAACGTGAGTGCCGGCGGTTTTTTGAAGAGATTGGAGGGATAAAATGAAGTGTTGGTGCTAACCGAAGGCTACAGATCCTCTTCGTCATCAACAACCCCGAGGTCTACAAGTCTCCCAACAGCAACACCTACATGTAAGTTGTATTGTTGTAAAATGATAGATCTGCTTCTGACCTCAAGCCAGTGTTTTCGGTGAGGCCAAGATTGAGGATGTGAACGCCGCTGCTCAACAAGCTGCTGCTGCTCAGCTCGCCTCCGCCAACGCTGAGGACCACTCTGGCCACAACCACGGTGAGCCCAGCAAGGCTGCTGAGACCGCTGAGGAGAAGAAGGACAAGGAGGAGGAGGATGAAGAGGAGGAGGAGGATGACGACGAGGAGGTCGACGCTTCCGGACTCGAGGATAAGGATATTGAGCTTGTCATGACCCAGGCCAACGTCAGCCGCAACAAGGCCGTCAAGGCGTTGAAGGAGAACGACAACGATATTGTCAATTCCATCATGGCTCTAAGTATCTAAGCATGAGCTTCTGCTGGACGATCATCCAAAAAAAGCATGTACATGGGACGAACATTGGGCTCTTGTATTAGTTCTTGGCGAACTGTACCCTGCGGAACGGAGTTGATGCCAAATAACGGAAACAATTGAAAGGGAATAACACCCATAAATCCGTCAAAAAACGCTGTTGAGATTTTGATCATGCGTGATGTTGTATTCATGGACTGATTGTGACCGACCGACCAACTGACTGACTCGACATTCGTTTCATGAGCGATGTGTCTCATGACTACTGAATCCATCAATTGCTAATTGCTATCTACGCTGAGTCACCGTACTCCGGTTCGTGAGAGTTTCTGCATCTCGTGTCTCATAGCTCAATATTCTCTTGCCATTGATCGGCTTCTGAGCTTCAATTGTCCTCAACTCTAGTCCTCGCTCATCCTGAGCCGACGTCAATGAGGGGTCCGAAAACGCCGCCCGCCGGATATTTGAGTGGAAGCACGTGACTTCCTAGTGCCCGGTAGTTCCCTGAACTTCGGCAAAGTCATCAACAGTCAATCAAGATTATCCTCTCCGCTCTCTCGACATCGTAACCTTCCTCAAAATGGCGACTGTAAGTTCAATTCATCAATTGGCGCGTGTGACTGATCGCAGGTGCTGTCGAAATTCTCCCCCGGGTCCCAATCGTGCGCCTCTACGTCCCAGGATGCCGTGAGCTAATTTTCCCTTTCTCCTACAGCGAAGCGCAGCTCTCAAGCTTGACTGGACTAAGGTCACCAGCTCCCTCGGTCTCCGTGGCCAGACCGTTGCCTCCCTGCAGGCCTTCAAGAAGCGCAACGAGGACGTCCGCCGCAAGGTTCAGCAGCTCCAGGAGCAGCCCACCACCGTCGATTTCTCCCAGTACCGATCCGTCCTCAAGAACCAGGCTATCATCGATGAGATCGAGAAGCGATTCAGCGCCTTCAAGCCTGTCACCTACGATGTTAGCCGACAACTGAAGGCTATCGACGCTTTCGAGGCCGAGGCCGTCAAGAACGCCGAGGCTACCAAGGAGGCCGTTGACCTTGAACTTAAGGATCTTGCCGCTACCCTCAAGAACATCGAGGAGGCCCGACCATTCGAGGAACTCACTGTCGTATGTACCACCGAAGCTGAGACTGCTGGGTCGAGATTCACAAGTTATAGGACGAGGTTGCCGCTGCCGAGAAGTCTATCGACGAGAAGACTGCTCAGCTCGTTTCCAAGGGCCGATGGATGGTGCCAGGATACAAGGTATGTTGTCCGAATGACAGAGGAATCGACAGTACTAACACCCACTGCAGGAGAAGTTCGGCGACTTGGCTGTGGTTTAGACGAATCGCGATATACTTTTTCCGACTTCGTGTTGTGTACTCTAGCATTGTAGATACGAGATCCCGAGGGAGAACCCGGCTTGTCTCATACCCAATTCGCTACAATTTTTCCTCTGTGCTTTATAATGAGTTCTTGTTGAGTTATTGAGAATGCGGTTCGATTTGAAGCATAGTGTGCGAGTTCTTAGTTACCAAACTAACCTCGGACCTCTCAAATTTACGTCTCTTGTTTGCCCAATTCACGCCGAGCATCCTAGTTCTTTGTTCCCGTCACTCTGGAGTGTCGTCTTATGACGACTTTTGGAATGAACCTTCACTCCTTCGTCGATACTTGGCCCAATACCTATCGAGTATGGAGACAGTCATTTCAGGCGATTGAACAATCCGAGGGAGGCGTTGGCCGAATTCCCATACACCACCCAATGCACAGGGCAATTTCTTGATGTGCCCAAAGTGAACCGTAATATAGGCACACTATCTAATCAGGATCATTCTGTTCTGCAACGTTTCAGTCATCTGCATCATTACGCATCTCTTGTCATACCCTATATCTGAAGACAACCTGAGAGTTAAGTCCAAGTCCGGTGTCAGACTATATGAAAGGAAGTACACTATGTAGAATAGATGCTGATTTTCTAT